CGTTTCTCTCGTCTGGTTAGAGGTACCAGGTGTGGCAGGGCCGGGCAGAGCCGGGCAGGGCGGTACCAACACACGGTCGCCCTGCTTCATCCCATTCGGGTGGACGGAAGGCAATCCCTCATTCTTCGCACTTCTGGCCGGCCAGCCGCGGCGGCAACGCGGCGGGCAGCCGCTCTGTCTCCCTCGCACCCCCGCGGTTCGCTGCGGCACGCTGCGGCTCGCCCCGTGAGTGCGACAAGGACGGGGCACTTTATACTGCGTGCGTCGAGTCGCGGGGACGCGTAATCAATCTGGCTCCGTCGAGTTGCTTTCTCTCTCTTTTCACAGTGTGTGTGCCCCACTCCGCGGCGCCGTTGCCCAATTTAGAAAATTTCAACTGTGTTTATCCTGGCTGACCCGCCAGTGTCAGATCACGCGATAAGTAGGGATGTAAAGGCCGGTAATATTACCGGTAAAGAACGGTATAATACGGTAAAATACGGTATTTTACGGAAGACCCGGTAAAATTGGTATTTTTCGGTAATTTTGAAATATTGACTTATTTGCCCTTCTTTTGCTTCCACACGATGAATTAGGACGTAGGGACTGAAAACAGCGCCTCTTAGGAACTATTCGTTTGTATCTGCCCCTGCCGCCACCCCATGTACGTGTAAGACATCATCTCTGGGCACTTAAACAAAGCAAGAAGTCAATGTTCTCTTCTTTTGCAAAACTTGTGGAAACTTAAATTTAACTACACGAGCCAAACGAGAAACTTCTTTGTTGCCAAGATAAGTATAATGTAAATTAACTTAAAAAAGAAAATAGGAAAAAAAAGGGGTGGATACTTGTTAGTTATTTGAGCTGAAAAATGCAATAAACATTGACACGATTGGACACCAAGGGGCCGCCGACGCCTTTCAGGAAAAAGAGTTTTCGAGAAATTGAGCCAACTTACATGGACAACGAGAAATAAGGCGCCATTTTTGCACTTCAGTATATTTGGGCTGTTAATTTGCGGTCAAAAGAGCCAGGCAGAATCAAAATTTATTTACAAAAAGGGAACGTCCACAAAATTTAGACATAAGGGGGAGGGGTCAGTAAGTCGGAGAATAGTTCATATCTTTAACCCACAAAGTGTTTGGTCCTTGTCTTTCAAAATGCTTCATTGTTCTTGAGCCATGTGGGCTTGGAAGTATGTATGAAACGATGTAACCGATACACCCCCACCCAAACGTATTCCCCCCCCCCCCTATTTTCACAAGAGATACCACAATTACCCCTTAAAGTCAAGAAAAATCAATTTTACCCAATTTTACCGTATAATACGGTAAAATACCGTATTTTACCGTATTTTACGTAACTTTGAATCTTACCGGTATTTTTGCATCCCTAGCGATAAGGTTATGTTGGATGTGGCCTGGTTCGGTTAGGCGGGGTTGTATCATGTCAGGTCAGGTTATGTTGGCTTGTTTTAAGGTTAGTCAGAGACTGCGTCGAGAGCCTTCCCGGAAATGGCGGAAGAAAGAGGGACAGCGAGGGGGCACACTGGCAGACAAAGACAGCATGGGCAAACAGCTTTGATGCTTTGCGTGGCCATGCTGCGCGAGCATGGCGCGAGGCTGCGCGGGTCCGAGAAAAAGCACTAAAAGCGCCGCGCGCTTCGCAGGGCGGAAACAAACGTACGAAGTACGGCATCGAGAGGGGCCAACGAAAAAGCAAAAGAGGAACCGAACGCGCGGAGGGAGGGCAAAGAAATGGCAACACACACACGCGCGCGCGCGCGCGCACACACACACACACACACACACACACACACACACACACGCGCACACAGAGACAGACGCGTTGCGATGTGAATATGGCGGATTCTAAAAGCCCATACCGTGGTGCCCTCACAGCACCAAAGCACCGCAGCACGCGGAGCGCGCGCATCACTCGACCAATTGGCTGTTCCCCTTTGTGGGACGAATGAAAAGGGGAAGCCAAGGGGAAGAGATGTGATTTCGGGGCGTCGCCTCCCGCCCACTCCCGCCGCGCGCGCCGCGCCGCGCCTTTGCCTGCCAGTGTGTCTGTCGGTCTGTCGCCGCGGTCTGTCGCCGTGCCGCTGGGCGGGCGCGGCACAGCGGGCCAGAAGACCGGTGGAGGCGGCCAAAACCCCAGACGCGTTTTGAGCTCCAGAGTCGCTAAGCAGGACCCGAACCGAGCGTGTGACCCCACCAATGAATTCCTCGTTCGGAGAGCTATCCATTGGTGGGGTCACACGTTCGGTTCGAGGCCCATTTAGCGACTCTGGAGCTCAAAACGCGTCTAGAGTTTTGGCCACCCCCACCGGTCTTCTGGCCCACTGTGCGGCGCGGCGCGGCGAGGGTACCGTCGCGTCGCTCCAGACGCGACCCTCGCCAAGCGCGGCGGCGGCAAATTTGAAAACGAGGTGGGCTTTGTTAGCTTTACACGTGGTTAGTCTCTGCCGATCCATCTCCAGTGCTTCCAGCGCTTTCAGCGCGCTCATCTGTCTGTGTCCCTGATTAGCTGGATGCCCGTCGAGTCCCCCGGCGTGGTCGAGGGTCGCTCTGTCCTCTCTCGCGCCCCGACGGGGCCAGCCACGGGTGAAGGAAAGAGAGAGAGAGAGAGAGAGAGAGAGAGAGAGAGAGAGAGAGAGAGAGAGAGAGAGAGAGAGAGCGACGACACGGTGAGGTCTACCGGTCCAACGCGGACCTTGCTCAAACCTACGCGGGACCTGCTCTGTTCTGGCCGTGACAAGAACGCCGGCCTCCGCTCCGCTGCTTTGGACACCGGCCGCCAGAGAGTCGTTTTCGTCGCTCTGTCTCTCTCGCACCCATGGAGCGTCCCGCGTGGGTGCGAGAGAGACAGAGCCAGGCTAGCGCATCGGGCGCGTTGCGCTCGCAGTGCCTCCCGCGCGCACGCTGCGCACGCTGCGCACGCAGGCACGGCGCGGCCAGCACGCGGGTCTTGGACGGACAGTGCCTTCTTCGCTGTCTCCCTCGCACTCACGGGGCGTCCCGCGAGGGTGCGAGAGAGACAGAGCTGCGAAAGCGGTTCTCGGAATGGCCCTGCTGGCCCCGGGCCCCTGCTTTCAAACGCACTGCGTAGCTGGCTCGGCGGGGGCCTTGGCGGTGCCTTGGCGGGGGCGGTACCCTACACAGAACGCCAACGCGCGCTACCCTCCCTCCAGGCAGCTGGCTGAGTGAAGCAAGAATTATGCAACCGCCTTCAAGCTTGCTTTGGCCCAGCCTCTTCCCAGCGACCAAATTGGTGGCATTATTTACGAACGGTCCCCAGCGGGGGATCGAAATTGGCCGGCGAGGGGGACATGGCGGCCCCCGCGGCCCCACGGCCGAGTTGACGCGGTCGGTGGTCCATGGCGAGGCCACGCTCGGGCCGCGCCGAGGCCGAGGCCGGAACACAGTCCCGCTGCCGCGCTGCCCCGCACCACGGACGAGCCGCCCCGCCGAGCATAAACGAGCTACTTGAAACTGCACCATAGGGTTTTATGCCCGTAGTGACATGGCCAGGGGCAGCGCCGCTTTGGAAATGGCGTAGGCGGGGTGGGGGTGGTGGGGGGCGGCATATTTCCCGCGCTCATCGCGAACACGTCCGAGGCCCGCCCCGCCCGGCCTGCACGTGCAAGGGGGGCCCTTTCATCTTACACACGCATCCATGTATATGTGAGCGCGTGAGGACCAAACAGAAAAAAAGAAGACCCCGTCACGGCTAATATACAATTAACTGATATGCTGCAGTCCATCCTCGTCGTCGTGCTTTGAAAGGGCGCCGCCAGAGCGCGCCGCTCGGCAGGGTAGCTTATTTGCTAATTCTCTCCGGGTACAAGCCCTTGCCACCTTTAACCCAATTCGCAGCTCGTGTTTTTGCTCCTGTTTTGGGCGGCCCGGCCGGGCCCAGCCCGGACAGGCTCGGTCCACTTTTTAATCAGACGGTACCAAGTTGCGAGGCGCGGCACGGCACGGCACGGCAGGCACTAGACTGCAGCCGGATCGCCCGTGCCGTTCCCTCCGCTCCTTTGCGTGGTGGCTGCCCATGGCGGGGCCCATGGCTGGCACAGGATGATTAATTAGCTTTCTGTATTTATTTTTGGCCCGATCAATTCATTTCTTCTCGTCCAATAATTTCACGAGTGATTTCTTGACGGAGCTGCCCTCACCCGCGCCGCCGCGGCAGGGCCGGCACGGCAGGCAGTACCGCCGCGCCATCTGCAAAGTTTTGATTTAATCGGGGTTCCTCTCCAGCCTTGCTTCCTTCGCTTTATTTTTTACCCCCTCCCCCTCCCCCGCGCGACGTCGCCCCTTCCCTCCCGCTCCTCAAGGTACAGACAGAACAATAATTGGAAATCTTTGAAGAGTGTAATCCCATTTCGCCACCGCCTTGCGCGCCTTGCGCCTTTCCTCCCCGTTCTCATTCTTTCCTCATTTGTCTAATCGAATGCCGAATGCGTCACTCGGATCACAAAAGTCGTACCCCTCCCAGCCCTCCGTCACTCCCGAGGACCCTTATTGAATTTCAGAGGGCATGCCGCCAGTTTCTCAAATTTGCCTCTGATGAGCCAGCCGTCGGTCGCGCCGGACTCACAAACCCGCACAAACCTTACAAACTATTTTAGGGGATTTTAGCCCTTGCAAAGAAAAGCAGCTCGCTATAACAAAGTATTTTGAGCGCGAAGCTTATTGCGAAGAAAATACTTCGTAATTTACGAACTATTTCTTCGTTTAACAAAGTAAATTAGTTTGTACTATACATATGTATGCTCAAAATACTTCGTAAGGTTTTGAGCGTGCGGTTCCGCTGCCACATCACCAAAACATTGCCACGTTGCACCCGCGCCGAAAGGGTTGCCAACCTCAGCAGGGCAACTTTTCGACATCAAAGCCCAGATATTGCGCGCCACAGTGCGCAGTGGTGGCAGCATTGGCTACACCGCACAGCGCAGCACAGCGCCACAGGAGCTGGCGATAATTTCTTTGTGCTGCACAATTAAGCTTTACCTTGCTGCGAGTCTGGTCCCGGTGGGTCCTGGGGGCGTGCTTGGGGCTCCATCGCACTGCGAACCTGGAACCACGCGAGAGAGGGGGGAGGAATGGCAGTAAAATTATAAAAACACTTTTATTTTCGTTTGTTTCGTGGGAATATGGAAATATATCACAGGTTAATCTGAGTGCCCCGGCGCTGTTTCTGCGCAGCGAGAGAGGGAGGTAAAGTTTGCGAGGGTCAGTGGCCGTGGGCGAGGCAGCGAGGGGACCGGAGAGAGGGGACTGGCTTCCATGTGAGAGTGACACAGCGACACAGCAGCCCCATATACCTGACAGTCGTGTGTACCAAACTTTCGGGGTTAGTTTCGGCCGCCGTCCGCATCTATTTACTGGCCTGTATTCGCTCGTCCTTCCGCACCCTCTCCACCAATTTGCGAGTGTGTGTGTGTGTGTGTGTGTGAAATACTCTGACCATGTGATGTTTCATCTCTGAAAGGCAAGGGCTGAAAATTGACCAAGACGAGCACACCTTGTAGCGACAGAATTTGAAAGAGGAATTAACGTCGTACGCCACCCCTCCACCGTGCCCCCACCCCTCCCCCTCCTACGAGGGGGGGGGGGGGGGGGTGGACCCGGATGTCCTGGCCCTTTGCCGTAGTTTGCCTTCGGGGCGAAACACAGTGGACTGCCGTGGACACGGCACTGCCTGCTGCAGCGAGAGAGTGGGACAAAGAGTTTTGCCCCGCCGCTGTCGGTATCAAGGTGTGTGTGTGTGTGTCCTTTTTCCACGAAAAAGTCGCCAAGGTAAGTAGGGTCCTCTGGAGCTCGCGGCGTCGCGGTGGCGTCCCCGGCCCGGCGGTCAGAGCGAGACCCGGTGCGTGTCCCATCCCAGCAACTGCCTCCCAGGAGTTTTCGACTCGAAGGCCCCGCCGTGCGAAGTTCATGGATCAAATGATGTTGGCTAGAACGCCTATTCCCTGTGACTGGGCGGACAGGGAGCGGCACGGCCAGGCACGGCCCCACCGGGTCGCTGCAAATCCTCCCTTTTCCCACGGTTATACCCCGCTCAACACGGAGCCGCCCCGGCCCGCCCCGCTCCCCACACCCCTCGCCAGCTCCATCAAGGGCTGGCCAGGCTGGACTCACCCTTCAAGGACCCTGCAGACCGATTCCGAGAGTCGTCCTCGCCGCCCCGTCTCTCTCGCACCCACGAGATGGCCCCAGGAGTGCGACGGAGACAAGCGGCTCTCGGAATCAGGCTGCTGCCGACGAATGTTCGATGAGTTTTCGCCGCCTGGCTCCACTTGCCCCGCTCGCTCGGCTAGAGCAGGCTAGCGATGGCGCAGCGGAGGGCCGGGACAGGACGAGCCACCCACAGGCGGGGCGTGGCGTGGCGTGGCGGGGCGGGGCAGGGCGGGGCGGGGCGTTGCTGAGCGTAGCGCGGCGATGTTTACCCAAGCAGGAAGGTCGGAGACGCTCGGCGAGCCAGCCCGGCACGGCACGCCTCGGCACGGCCCGGCCCGGTGGACCTGACGGGTAGACTCTAGGATCAAGGGATTAGGCGATGCCTGGCGATGCCCGGCGATGCCGCAACCGCTCCGCCCTCGCCCCGCCGAATATCGCCGCTCGACGCCCGGGCCGCCGCCCCGCCGCGTCATACGCCGGGCGGACTTTTAGTAGTTGTAGGACTCTAGGTTTGCCCGAGGTCGGCAATGCCGGCGATGTCGCACACACAAACTAACCCGCTCGGTTCGCTCGCCTCAAAGGGGTCGCCGCACGGCCGGCACGGCGCCAAGCAGCACGGCGGGCCCCTCGTCCCTCCCTCTCTCTCGCACTCACGGGCCGGGCCGGGCCGGGCCGGGCCGCAGGGGCGCGAGAGAGACAGTGACGAGAGCGGGGGTCAGACCATTGCAGCGGCAGGAATGAAAGGCGAAGCCTTCCATTACAGATGGGACCGGGGAATGCATGGCAGGCACGGCCGGGCACGGCCAGGCACGGCCAAGATCGCAGGATAAATTTCGAATGGGTCCCTGCAGAGTTGCCCCAGCTCAAAGGGCGCGTGTGTTCGACTGGAAATTTCCTCTTTCCGACTCTCAAACCTAAATCTCCAGCGAGGGCAGCACCTCCCACCGGTCCCACCCGCGCAAACAGTTCTCCTCTTTTTGTTTCGTCGTCCGGTACTGCCTTTCCGCGTCAACTTAGTCTGGGACCGAGGAGCGACGCAGAACGACGCGTCCGGGCTAAATCACTCTCCCTCGGACAGTGGCCACTCTGCCGACGGAGGCCCCTCCCCTCCCCTCCCGCCGCTCCCTTGGCCCGACGATAAAAGAGTAGCCGACTGTATCGTGAAAGTGACAGCCGGCCGGCACACAGGGAATTCAAAATCAGCCGAAATGTGTGCAAGGCGGGCAGGAACCGGGAGGGGGAGGGGGAGCTGTCGAAAGGATTTCGGACGAGCATCAGCGGCGGCGGGGACGGGGACACGGGGAGGGGAGGGGACCTTTCTCTCCGCAGGCCGGCAACTCAAAGAGGACCGCCTCATCTCGCACGGCGACGACGCCACGTAGAGCACCGCGACGTACTCCACCACGCCGCCGAGCCGCCCGACGCGGCCAATCCCATTTTGTTGATCAAGGAGGACGCGATCCAGGAAAGAACCACGCACGCGCACACACACACACACACACACACACACCACTGGCAGTTTGCCTACAAAAGAAGCACATTCTTTCCCGCTCGTCAGACTCCGGTTGATTGTGTATCTCCGCCCCGAGGGCAGTGTTTCTCGCGGCACGTAGCTGGCGATGACTGCTCGAAGACACGCCAAATCGCGCGAATTCCTCGTCCGGGTAAATGCCTCGTCCCGTTTTCTCTCTCTCTCTCTCTCTCTCTCTCGCACCGCGCTGCGGGGCGCCCCGTGAGAGAGACAGAGTGGGAAATCATCAGCCTGCGGGCACATCAAACGGTCGGACGAGCAGCGGCTCGAGCCACCGTGCTTCACGCGCGTTCAAAAACCGCGCCGGGATTCGAACCCACGATCCGTGCTGGCTGGACAGGCCAGCAGCGCTCCCGACTTGACTTGAAAAAGCTTGGACGAGAGAGGCGGCGATCACAAAATATAATGTGCGTCCCTGGCGGGCCCGCCGAAAGCAAGGCCGAAGGCAAGGCCGAAGGCACAATCCGGTATCGCTGCGAAATAGAGAGCGAGTCCAACCCAACCCATTTACCGGCGTGGCGAGCAGCACGGCCGGAGGAATAATGCGAGAGATGATCGAAAATGGTGAAATAGAAGGCGCAGTGACGCTTCGAGTGTACAGTCGCGCAGTGACGCTTCGAGTGTGCAGTCGCGCGAGACCAAATCCACCCCCTCTGTGCGCTTGGACCGAGGGATGAATCACTAGTGTACTCATGTGTACATGTGCGCCCGTACTCAGTGTACTCAAAAGTTTAAAAAGTGTACTCAAAAGTTTAAAAAGAGCAAAATTGGCTCTTTTTTTACTCAATTTGGCGTTGTGTGTCGTCTAAACCGCTGAAAAAAGGCAAAAAAACGTTTGAAAATGTGAAAATTATGAGTATGTCATTCACCTGTACTCATGTACTCAGAAAGCTGAGTGATTCACCCTTCCGTTTGGACACACTTCGAGCACGGTCGCGCAATCCAAATTTGCCCTGTGTTGCCTGCCGTAATGTCGAACCCGTTTCTCGAGCTAATTTGGCGACTGCGCCCGTTTGCGTCCCTGGCCCAGTGCACCCGCTGCACCGGACGGCCGCACTTGCTGCAATGGCCCGTCGAGGTAGTCCAACGTGCCCGTCGCGCCCGTCGCCTCAGTTTACCAACTGCTGTTTGTCTGCCAGGTTATTTCCGCACCGAACCCAATACCCGCGCCACCCTTCATCATGCCGGATCGCGGGAGGTTAGGATGTTAGGGGGCTGGAAGTTGGAGGTGGGGGGTTGGAGGTTAGGAGGGACTAGAGGACACAACGCTGCCGGCTCTCGAGATTAGGCTGGTCCAGTAGTTCCTTTGGGAGCACAATCAGGGCGATGACTACTCCCCTCGCTGGCCGCGCGTTGCCCAGGCGTTGCCGCGGGACGACAACCCTTCCTTGTCGCACCCACAGCGCCACCGGCCCGGAGCGAGAGAGAGAGACGGCCTGCGCTGTCGGCTGGGCGACCGAGGCGCGACCGAGGCGTGACCCAGGCACGCGTAAGGGAATGTGAGAATTCTCCCGCGAGGACCCCCCAGCCCGGCCCGGCCCGGCAGGCCTGCCTCTGCCTCTGACCGCCCCCCCCCCTCCCCCCACCACGGCCACGCAGAGCGTTCAATCACCGGCAGTGTCAACTACGCGACGCAGCGACGCTCGGCGCAGCACGACGACGGTAGGGTACTGGGTATCGTGCGCCTTTGCGTTGTCGGACTTTTTATCTGCCCCACTCCTCGTGAGAGTTCTCGAGTGTGTTTCGGTTATTGAACGCGGAACACGGTTCGCGGAAGCTTATAATAAACCCCTCCGCAGAATCGTTTCGACATCTTTTTTTTGGCGGGTGCAGGGCGCACAGTGGGCCAGAAGACCAGTGGAGGCGGCCAAAACTCTAGACGCGTTTTGAGCTCCAGAGTCACCAAATGGGACTCGAACCGAACGTGTGACCCCACCAATGGATTCCTCGTTCGGAGAGCAATCCATTGGTGGGGTCACACGTTCGGTTCGAGTCCTGCTTAGCGACTCTGAAGCTCAAAACGCGTTTAGCGAGTTTTGTCCGCCTCCACCGGCCTTCTGGCCCACTGTGGGGCGGTCCCGTTGACGTGCACCCTGCCTGTTTACCTAGCGCTGGGGCTGCCTTGGCCGGGGCTATAGGCAGGCGGGCAGGGCCGCCCCGGCCATGTCCACCGAAAGGACTGCTCGGCCCTGTAATTTGCGAGTACACGTCAGAGTCTACTCCGTCACTCCGTACGCCCTGCTAGAGCTTTCCTCTTTTTTTCCGAGGGACGGCTTCTATGTGCAAAGGCCTGGCTCTTTCCTCGTGGGTTCGAGTCCACGCCTCTGCTAAAAAAGGGACTTTTCTTTTCAAAAATCTTAAAACGTTTCAAAGTGTGAAACACAGTGTGTCTTTTTTATGAAAGGCAGACTTTCAGGCCTCGAGTGGGGCTTTGAGAGAATGGCTGTGGGCATTGACGGAGACAAATTCGCGTTGCTTCGACAGCAGGACTTCGCGGTACCTCCGATCGATGAGCGGTTTCTTATCACGCTCCCTCAGATGAGCGGATTCTCCGGAGAGTCGGCAGTATGAGCGTGTTTCGATAGGAGGTACCGACTTGCACCAAAGAATCCAGCTTCCTTCTTTGCGCCGCGCCCAACTAAACTGATAGAGACAGATCCTTGCCGGGCTAGTCCGGCCCTCCGCAGCCCAGCGACCCGTCGCTCTGTCTCTGTCGCACTCACGAGGCGTACCGCTTGGGTGCGACAGAGGCAGAGCGACGAAACGATCCTTGAGAAGCAGCAGACTGATTCCGAGAGTCGCTTTCGTCGCTCTGTCTCTGTCGCACCTATAAGGGACGGCGAGAGAGACAGAGCGACGAAAACGACTCTCGGAATCAGTCTGCAGGCGGCAGGTCGTCTGCACCGCGCTTCCCGGTCGACAAGGCTCACTTTGTTAGCGCGCCGCTTCGACAGCAGACCGATTCCGCGCAGCGCTCCGTCTCTCTCGCACTCATGGGCCGTCCCGCAGGGGTGCGGGAGAGACGGCTGTGCGCGTCGCGTCGCCAGATGGCCTGCTTAAAAATACGACTGCTCCTCATTGAAAATACATGGCGCCAATAATCAAGGCCGAGGGACATGATGGGCCGCTCACGTGGAGTCTTGTCCCATTTACGGCCAAGGCCAAGGCCAGTGTTGCCACACAAGCGGGACAAACTTCCCGCGATGCGCCACTGTCAAAAGGGTTGCCTACCTCAGCATGTCAAGCAGGCAACGTGAAGGCTTTGATGTCGACAAGTTGCTGCCTAGTTGGCGGGCTGAGGTTGGCGACCCACAGTGGGCCAGAAGACCGGTGGAGGCGGTCAAAACTCTAGACGCGTTTTGAGCTCCAGAGTCGCTAAACAGGCCTCGAACCGAACGTGTGACCCCACTAATGGATTCCTCGTTCGGAGAGCAATCCATTGGTGGCGGGTCACTCGCTCGGTTCGAGGCCTGTTTAGCGACTCTGGAGCTCAAAACGCGTCTAGAGTTTTGACCGCCTCCACCGGTCTTCTGGCCCACTGTGCCACCCTCGCGACGCTGCTGGGATACCATCCTGCTTGAGTGGCTGCCCTAGTCCCGCGCGGAGAAGTGGCGGCAGCGGAAACTAGGAGGGCGGGGGAAAGACGCTGTCAAAAAAGACGCTGTCAAAAAACCGCGACAGCAACGGCGCAAGAGTGCACGCGGCGCGACGTGCGGGTACGGCGTTCGCTGCGGTTCGCCGAGAGGGCCTCCCCGATGTGTTGTGACACGGCAGCGCGACAGGCACCTGCTCGTCACGAACACGTGGTGCATTACGGGGGTCTCGTGGGGCCGGGGCAGGCCGGGGCAGGCCGGGGCAGCCGGGGCCCGCCCAGCCGGAGCAGGAAATGTGCCATGTCACCTCGGCGATACCGCGTACATGACGGCGGCGCCGAGCGTGCCGCCGCCGCGTCAGTGTCCGGGTCAGCAGGCCGCCTCCGTGCTCTCGCCGCCGTCTCTCTCGCACTCGCGGGGCGTTTGGCGGCGGTGCGAGCGAGACAGAATGATCGACCTCCGTTCGGATCGGACCACAAAGGGCATCCGCGTGCTATTCCGGGACTCGCACTGCTTTCGTCGCAGTCTCTCTCTCTCTCTCTCTCTCTCTCTCTCTCTCTCTCTCTCTCTCTCTCTCTCTCTCTCTCTCTCTCTCTCTCTCTCTCTCGCGTCCTTACGAGTGCGAGAGAGACAGGCCGCACGTCTCCGTCGTCGCCGTATAATGACGTCTCGGCTTATCGATGGCGTCGGACTGGCGGCGCCGTTGTCGCGCGTCTTGCCTTATCGGAGCGACGCGCTGCGACGCGGTGCTGGTGCACTGGCAGGACGTGGCGCGGCGTCGAGAGGACTCGGAGAAGACGCCCCTCCGAGGAACGCGGCACGCGGCTACGCCTTCGCTACGCCTTGGCTACCGCGGCGGCGAGCGAGACAGCGGCACAGCGGCCACAGCGGCACGGTCAGTGTTCGTCGTACGGCGAAAGGAAGGAAACCAGTTTCCGACAGAGATAGTTTGGATGAGCGCGCTCGCATGGCCGAATGGCCGCCGCCGGTCCGGCCCCCTCCCCCTCCTCCGCTACCGTCGTACCGCCGCCGCCGCCTAGCGGCTAGAAGGCTAGATGCCGCGGGACATGACATACCACAGGCCAGGCGATGCCCCGCGCGCCGCGCGCCGCGCTGCTCAGTCAGCAGCTGATCTGTCAGCCAGCCGTCGCCGTCCCCCAGCCGGCCGCCGTTAGCGCCCCGTCGCCGTCACCGCCGCGATGTCGTCGCCGAGGTCAGTGGGGCAGTGGGGCCTTGGACGGCACCTGTCGCGTGTCGTCTCCGCGTGCCAGCGCGCCGAGACGCGGCGGAAACGTGCGGCCCGCGCGGGCAAGACGTGCTGACGGCGGCAGTGTTTTGAGGTTATGTTGCCCATCGGACAACAACGGCGCGGTGGAGGGGGGAGGCCGCCGCTACCGCGGCTACCGCCGCCGCGGCGCTGTGGTCGGCACGGCACTAGAAAAACAAAAACAAAGACAAGTGAAGGCACAGCGCGCGCGGCGCGCGGCTAGAGGGCCCTGGCGGGAAAATTTGAATCCGACGCTAAGCCGACGGGCGCGGCGCTGCGCGTTTTCCTCACGCGGGAATGGCAGACGGTCTCGAGTCTCGCGGCCAGTGTGACGACGCCCACAGTAATGAAAACTGGAGCGTGGCGTCTACCTTTGCAGAGCAGGCAGCGGGCTGGCGCGCCACGCCACGCCACGCCGGGCGGCATTTATTAGAAAAGTTGGACGCGACGCGCGCGACGCAGTCCTGGCTTCAAAACGGCCCGCGTGCCGCGCGGCACTCGGCGTTTTTTTTGCAGTGTGCCTCCAGCGCTCGAGTTCATTACGATACACACTAAGTTTTAAATCGCATCCTTGAAAATATTTTTAAAAAATCCGAAGTAATCTTTGACACTTTTGTCCATTGCAGCGACAAGCCCGTTCCCATGGAATCGGACTTCAAGGCCCAGCTGACGGACAAGGTGCTTCCAGGACTGCTGGCCGACGGCGCCCTGGGCAAGGATGTCACCCTGGTCTCCCAGGAGATCGCGCCCGTCGGGGGCTACGGCGTGGACCACTGGATGTCCTCCACGTTCAAGGTGGCCGTCGAGGTCCGGGACGCCGAGACCAACACCACCAGGTAGACGCCGTGAAATTAACCAGAGGTTTCACTCCGACCGCCGCGGCCCGCGAACAAAACAAACAGGCGAGGAGGGGTAGAAAAAGCGCAAGGGGGGGGGGGGTTGAACCCGCGCCTTTCGCCTTTATGAAAGGCAACACACCCAGGCCTTATCTTTTCGTGAGGCGAATCCTGACCGAGTTCGGGACGGGGCCTTGGGGCCTTGGACTCGGATGGGCAGTCAGAGCATGCAATCGCATCGCCAAATGAAATCCTGCCGGAGGGCTAGGCCACGCCACGCCACGCAAGCGGGGCTACTGGTGCGGATTTGCAACCCTCTCGGAAGGGAAAGGGGCGTTGTTCTATTCCGAATCGCAATAAGCCCCCCGCCCTCCCTGCCGTCCCCGAGGAGGGGGGGGGGGGGTCTTAGCCGATCCTAGCTAGCTCTCCGACTTGGCCATATTAGCCGGTTTCCTTCACCTAATTGAATCGCGTTAGACGTCGGGCCGTCGGACCGCAGAGCGGAGCACGTCGACGTGCTGGGTGTGAGTCTGGAGATTATAACGCTGGTTCAGCCCGGCCCGTTCCCAAATTAACTCCCCCTGGCCGGCTCTCACATTCGCCTCTGTTGGTATTTTTTGAAAATTCGGATAAACAGTGTTGACTTTCTTTCTGTCCCCAGGACAACGCGGATGGTCGCCAAGTTCCAGGTCGACGACCCCGTGTGGGCGGACTGCGCCACGACCAGTCGCAACGAGGACGTCATGTACAACCAGGTGCTGCCCTTCTTCGAGGAGCTGTGGCAGGGCCAGGACGGCCAGCCTCTTAACCTCTTCCCCAAGTACGTCGAGTCAAGGCACACTCAGCCTAGCGGTTTCTAAACGCTTTAAACTTTACCAAGTATTTTGAGCACAAGTTCAAACTAATTTACTTTGTTATACGAATAAATAGTTAGTAAATTACGGAGTAGTTTCTTTGTAAGCTTATGTATGCTCGAAACAGCTTGTTAAGCTAGCCCCTTTTCTTTGTAGGGACTAAACTAGTTTGTAAGGTTTTCTCAGTGTAAAAAAACAATTTAAAAAGTAGTTTCAAATATTTTTTGAAAGGATCGAATCAAGGTGGCCGATTCTCACACTGTGCATCACAGGTTGAAAATGAGTCCTGGCCTCGAAGCAGCCAGTTCGGTTTGCGCTGGACAGGCGGGTGCCCTCGGTGCCCTACTGTCCCAAGGGCCGGGGGCTGTCTGCGCAGGGCCGGCAGGGCTCGTCCTTCGAAGGGCGGCCGCTCCTTTGACTGCCAGGATGACCATTTCGCCCTTGACTTTGGCAGCAGTCAAAACTTTAAACTTTTTCGTTATCTCTCGACTTGAGAGGGGGAGGGGGTTGATCGGCGGAACGAGGGCAATCAACAAGTCACAGACAAGGCAAAATTCGACGTCAACTATGTTTTTGTTGGAATGTTTTTGCTTGTCGGAGCAGCGCGGGTTGTTGCGCGACATTCTCGGCCGCGGGTTCCAGCCAGTGTAGCTGCGAGGCTAGAAGGCTGGAACTGGCCGTCGCCCGGACTCGGGGCCGCCCAGGCCGCCAGGCCGCCCAGGCGGGGCGCACGGTGCGCGGCCTGTAAACGGCGCTACAGACGCGGAATAATTTACACTCGGGGCCAAACAGGCGGCCAGCGCGCTGCTGGGGCGGGCGGACGGACAGACAGGCAGACAGACTGGACCGCCGTTCGATTTGGCCGACGTGCCGGTCGGCGTGCCGGTTGGCGCTGGCGAGGACAACACGGCCCAGCTTCTGGACAACTAGTTGAAACTACGTTTACTGCCAAATTCATTATTCATTGACGCCATTCATAATTCATTGTTGACAGGTGCTACCTGGCCGAGCAGAGCCCGAGTCCGCTGGTGGTGATGGAGGACCTGACGGCGCAGGGCTTCAAGCTCTCGCCGTCGCTGAGCTCCCTGGACGGCGCCCACGTGTTCCTGGCGCTGCAGCACCTCGGCAAGCTGCACGCGCTGTCGTACTGCGCCAAGGTGCGCAGGAAGAGCGACTTCCTGTCGCTGGCGCGGGAGCTGCGCGAGGCCGAGTACATCGACAAGAACCGCGCCTACCACTCTGGGTACCTCAGCCGGTCGCTGGCGCGCGGCCTCAAGCGGCTGGCGGCGCGCGGCGGCAGCGCCATCGACGCCGCCACCGTGGAGCACCTGCGGCGCCGCTTCCGCTCCGAGCGCGACGCCAGCAACGCCTTCGACCTCATGGCGGACGCCAGGACGCCCGAGGAGCCCCTGGCCGTCGTGACGCACGGCGACTTCTGCAGGAACAACATCATGTTCAAGTACGACCCCGTCACCGGCAAGCCCGTCGACGTGCGCTTCTTCGACCTGCAGAAGGCCAAGTGAGTTGGGGGCACGGGGCACAGTGGGCCAGAAGACCGGTGAAGGGCGGCCGAAACTCCAGACTGGTTTTGAGCTCCAGAGTTGCTAAATGGGACCCGAACCGAACGTGTGACCCCACCAATGGATTCCTCGTCCGGAGAGCAATCCATTGATGGGGTCACACGTTCGGTTTGAGGGATGTGTAGCGACTCTAAAGCTCAAAACGCATCTAGAATTTTGGCCGTCTCCAACGGTCTTCTGGCCCACTATACGGGGGCTGATTCTGAACAGCACTCTCGACTCTGTCTCTCTCGCACTCATCGGCCGTCCGTCGTGCGAAAGAGACAGACTGATTACATCCCTCGCGCGGGGCGTAGCGCAAGCCTGACAAAGAAAGCCAAAATGTAATCCGGCGCCGCCGGCGGGAGTCGAACACACAACACTCCGACATAATGAAGCTGACCGCGAACGCAGCGCGCCGGCCTTGATGTGGCGGGGTGCTTGCGGGCGGCAAGGATACGCCGCTTTGAGCGCCCAGGTGTGGGCCGGCGGGGAGGGGGCGGCCCCACCCCACCCCCCCCACCCCACCCCACCCCACCCCACCCCGCCCCACCCCGCCCCGCCCCGCCCCAGCCGCCGCGCCAGGCGGGCGCAGCACCACTAGCATTTGAATACACTTGATCAGGGTTCCGGCCCCGTCGCCGTGCCCGTCGGCCCTGGCTGCCCTCAGGCTGCCCTCGCCCCCAAGGGCCCTAAAGGTCGATACCACTTACGGCCTGCACTGTTGTTGTTGTTTGCTGATACTCTTGTTGTTGTTGTTGCACGCACGGCCCGCGCGGACCAAGGCCGTGCCCGGCTGTTAGCGCGGTGCGCAGTGCCCCCAAAGCCGGCAAACTGCGTGTCAATTTGTTTGTCGCCGTCCTGACGACGATTTCGCCGTTCCTCCGCGTTTCGCCTTTCAGCGGCGCCACCGTCACGGCCATCACGGCCATCACGGCCCACAATGGGAGCGACAGTCGCGAGCGCCGAGAACGCACTTTCCCATCTCGCACGGCACGACGCACAGTGGGCCAGAAGACCGGTGGAGGCGGCCAAAACTCTAGACGGGTTTTGAGCGCCAGAGTCGCTGAATGGGACTCGAACCGAACGTGTGACCCCACCAATGGATTGCTCTCCGGACGAGGAATCCATTGGTAGGGTCACACGATCGTTTCGAGGCCTGTTTAGCGACTCTGGAGCTCAAAACGCGTCTAGAATTTTGGCCGCCTCCACCGGTCTTCTGGCCCATGCGCGACAGCGTTGCCACGTAAGCAGGCCAAAATTGCCGCGATGCACCACACGGTTGAAAGGGTGGTCAACCTCAACCCGTGCACTAGGCAATCTGGTCTTCACTGTCGGGGTTTTTCTTTAGGCAGGCTGAGGTTGGAGGGAATTGGGACCGACTTAAGAGGCAACACTGCTTCGGTTGCAGGTACTGCTCGCCGGCGGTGGACTTGTCCTTCTTCCTGTTCATCAACACGACGCCGTCGCAGCGCGCCGCCCACTGGGACGACTTCTTCGTGGCCTACTACGACGGCCTGACCACCGCCATGCGGCGTCTGCTGTCCAGCGGGCCCGGCATGTCCCCGACCATGGGTGAGTGGCAGCAGGCAGCACAGTGGGCCAGAGGACCGGTGGAGGCGGCCAAAATTCCCGACGCGTTTTGAGCTCCAGAGTCGCTAAATGGGACTCGAACCGAACGTGTGACCCCACCAATGGATTGCTTTTCAAACGAGGAATCCATTGGTGGGGTCACACGTTCGGTTCGAGTCCCATTTAGCGACTCTGGCGCTCAAATGCGTCTAGACTTTTGGCCGCCTCCGCCGGTCTTCTGGCCCACTGTGCCCAGCAGGCCCAGCAGCAGGCCCAGCAGGCCGGAAGCGCGCCGGAACCAGTGCACGTGTTGAATCGGGGGGTAGGGGGTGGGGGAGTTGCTCGTAATGGGCCACTAGGTCACCGCCTCGGTCATTTCGCCTGCACCGTTGTCACAGCGGGACGCAGCCGGCGACACATGTGTGTGTGTGCGTGTGTGTGTCTCCTCAAGGAATCCGGACGCTAGGCTCCGCTGGCGTGGCGGTGCCGTTCCCCACACGCGGCACCCTGGCCGTCGTGGTGCATGCCCCTATTGCGGCCAGCGCGGCCAGCGGATAGTTTACGGTCCGCTTTTATTGCCAATGTTTTTTCCAGGAGTCGCTCCCCTCCCCGTTTGGATAACGTCTAATCTGTCTGTCCGCAGAGATGCCCAGCTTGGCGTCGCTGCGCGCGGACTTCGCGCGCCACGCGCTCTACGGCTACGTCATCTGCGCCTTCTTCCTGCCCGTGGTGCAGGCGCCGCCAGGCGACGCCCCCGCGGCCGAGGACTGCGCCTTCGTGGCGGACATCGCCGACAAGTTTGAGGCCGGCGCCGTGACGGGGGACATGTTCACCAAGATCGGCGGGGAGGCCGCCGACGACACGGTGGCCGACCTGCTCATCGAGTTCGTGGAGCGGGGCCTCGTTGGCCTCTGACCGCGCCGTCGGCTGCCGTCAGCTGCCGTCAGCACACTGTAGGGCTGCGTGGTGCACTCGGTGTCGTTTGTTTGTTTATATGATGTGTGGATCCAAGGTCGTTTCATCGTGGGCCTCGACGTCCTGTATATACTGTTTTCATCAAACTAAATAAATTTCTAATTTTTCAAGGGCGCTCTCCCTTCTTCTCACCCCCAACCACCCTCAAGCCTCTCGACCCGGCGCGGCGCGTCCCCCACCCTCGAGGCCGATGCATGGCTCATGGCCATGGCTCATGGCCATGGCTCCACGCAGGGATCCGACATCGCGACCCACACTCCGAGATGCACTCACTCTGTGTCGAGCAAGTTGTTGACGTCGCTCGATGGCGACTCGGCACGCGAAGCACGCCAAGCTCGGTGCTCGTTGGGTAGCAGGCAACTATCGAACACCTAGATGCCAAAGGTCGCGGTGCGGGGAGGGGGCACAGTGGGCCAGAAGACCGGTGGAGGCGGACAAAACTCAAGACGCGTTTTGAGCTCCAGAGTCGCTAAACAGGCCTCGAACCGAACGTGTGACCCCACCAATGGATTCCTCGTGGGGAGAGTAATCCATCGGTGGGGTCACACGTTCGGTTCGAGTCCCATTGAGCGACTCTGGAACTCAAAAGGCGTCTAGAGTTTTGTCCGCCTCCACCGGTCTTCTGGCCCACTATGCGGGGCGGGGTGGGGCACCGACAAGAGCACGAACAAGCTGCAGGGAGGCTTGTCAGTCGGCACTGACGGAGTACCAAGCATGTCCTAGTCGCCAATGCATTGTCGATCATTTTTTCTCTTTGATCAAACCCCTTAACCGGCAATGGAAGATTTTTTCGACCCTTGCGCGGTGGATTAACTACCCCTCCGCTTCCAGTGAAATTTCAGACGCGAGACCTGCTTTCCTGTCTGAAACGGGTATGGGAGGGGTTCAAACGAAACGTTTTGTTTTCTGACTGAGTGGGTCTGGCAGAGCGGAAAAAAGAATACACAATCAAGCAGACGCACTCTTGTGGCGTGTGGAAAGGGGAGGGGAGGGGGGGGACAGGTACCGCTGGCGCCTCCACTGCAAAACAAAGCGCGTCACAGCCAAGCCACTTGATGCAATTGCGCTTGATGGCAAAGTTTGGCCTCGTGGCGGTCTCGCCGAGGTCCTCGCCGCCCCGGCAGGCGGCAGCCTCCTCCCTCGGCCCGAAAGCCTCGCTAGGTGTGCAAATGCCAACTTACGCGTCCAAACAAAAACAAACGCACAAACAAACGAAAAATTGGCGTCGGGAAACAAATGCGGATTCCCTCCGCGGGACGCGCGCACGCGTGCCACCGCGGGCCGTCTCCGAGCCGCGGTGCTCCCTGTCTCTCTCGCACTCGCGGGGCGGCCCGTGCGGCCGAGAGAGACAGAGCGAGCGGTGGTTTGGAATCAACCCGCTGACACTTCCCGCGGTCCTCCGTGGGGACCTCCGCCTCCGCGGCAGCGACTGAGCGACCGCGAAAAAGGAGCTGGGGGAGTGGCGGACATCTCGAACACCTAGCTGCCGTCAGCCCGCCCGCCGTGGCGCACGCACACGCCCACACACGCGCGCCCACACACACACACACTTGCACAGAGCGTGTGTCTTGCCACCAATACCGCCGGGAAAGTTGCGCTTCGCGGCTTCGCCTCGCGCCTCGCCGGCAGGCCGATTCCGAACGGTCGTTGCGGCGCTCCGTCTCTGTCGCACTCAGGGGCCGCGCCCTGGGCGCCCTGGGGGAGCGAGAGAGACAGAGCGACTGTCCGGAAACAGCCGGCCGCTGCTCACAGCTTCCCCTTAGCGGCGCGAGGCAAGCGGCTGGTTTCCATTCTGCCGGATTAAATGCAAACGCGAACCACATCTGGCTCGTTATAAGTTGAATGCGCACCCGCGACGCGGTTTCCCGCGCCCCGCGCCTCAGCCCCGCCCCGCCCCGCCGCGGGATTTGCCGATACAACAAAGTGTGCCGCCACGCCACTTCTCGGGCGAAGCCGAAGGCGGCATAAATTAGTTTTGCGAAATCATTGCAACTTCCACGCGGGGCTGCGCGGGGCCGAGTGAAGGGCGGCCAGCCGAACTGTCAGCCAAAGTAATTCGGCGGGCTTAAAAAGAAAGCCAGACAACGTAACGAGTTTGGATCTATACTTGATGAAGTAGTTAAGACAGGTGCGAAGGGGCTTGGGCCGGCTGGGCTGTGCGCCACAGCTACAGCCCTGAGCCCCTCCAGCTCCAGCGGCTCCAGCCCCCGCCGCGCTCAGGGATACCAACTTGGCCGGACGATGGACTAGGGCTTGGCCGGGGCAGTCTGGCCCCTGTACCTTCAACAACAGGAGAGAGAGAGAGAGAGAGAGAGAGAGAGAGAGAGAGAGAGAGAGAGAGAGAGAGAGAGAGAGAGAGCGCTTGGCACGACGCGCTGACGCGACTGGCACCGACACAATCCTCTGCGAAGAAAGTTTGTTCCTAATGCGGCAAGCGGACGTTACACTCGCATAGCTGACATGCCCCGCTTGCTGAACCGGCTACCCTTCCGGGAGGGAAAACAGTATGTGGCCACAGTGGGGCCACCAGATAAAGTGTAAGCGTTTAGCAGTGGGCTGGGCATTGGCGAAGCCTCGAGCCGGCAGGTGAAAACAATGTAAACTTTAACAGCAGCACACTCGAAAAAAAAGTTGGGATAGGAATGACGGCAAACAACACCAGTTCGATCCATACAAAATGAAAAATAAATGAGGTTCTGGCCTCAAAATAACGCGAATCCGCAGTCGCACTTTGCGACCACGCACGCGCGCACACACTGTGCTGATGCCGACCGACCCGGAATGCATGCGCTGGGCGTAAGCACGCGGTTCCGCCCAATTTCTTAGTCGTTGTGCGTCGGCCTGGAAGACCTTCCTAGAAGACCCTCCTGGAAGGCCTTCGTGGAAAAACTTCCTGGAAGACCCCCACCGGCCACCACTCGTGCTCGACCATGGCTCGACGTCGTCCTCGACGGCGTCCTCGACGGCGTCCTCGACGGCGTCCTCGACGGCGTCCTCGACGGCGTCCTCGACGGCGTCCTCGACGGCGTCCTCGACGGCGTCCTCGACGGCGTCCTCGACGGCGTCCTCGACGGCGTCCTCGACGGCGTCCTCGACGGCGTCCTCCACGGCGTCCTCGACGGCGTCCTCGACGGCGTCCTCGACGGTCTCCCGGACGGTCTCCCCGACGGCCAACTCGGCCGCGACCGTGAATGGCGTTGGCGTGCTGGCGGTCGCACCTCGCCTGGCTCGGCCGTCCTCATCCTTGAGAAGTGGCCGCGCTATGAGCTTCACGACGGGGTCCTCCGGGTCCTCCGGGTCCTCCGGGGGCTACGGGTCGCAAAGGGGTTGTCGGGGGCCCGCCCGGCAGCGCAGTGCAAGGCGCCGCGCCGCCGCCACCGCCCCCGGCCCGCCGAACAGGGAGGCGGGCCGGCCGCCTCCGCGCCTGCCAGCCTCCAGCCTGCCTCCAGCCTGCAGGCCTCCCCGGCGGCCTCGGCGGCCTTGGCGGCGACCCGCACGCAGCCCCGGCTGTGGGGGTGCCGCCCTGCACTGTTAATTACGTACATTACTACGATATTCCCTTTGGCCGCTGCCGGCTCAGGGCGGAGGGGGCGGAGGGGGCGGGCCGCGGAGGGGAAGGCCTCGGAAGACGACGACTGAGCCGCTGCTACCACTTGCACTACCCACCCCTCTTGGCTTCCGTGTGCATAACCTGCGCGCCCAAGGACAGTCCTTCCCCTCCCCCTCCCTTGGAACCAGGCAAAGTAGCACAATGCAGGCAAGCAGCAGCCAGGCAGCCAGGTAGTTGGCCAAAGTTTCAATCGGGACTGGTGTTGGCACGTCTACTGCAAGCCGCCGGCACGGCCCCTCTAGGCCGGCCCCGCCGCTCGCCGCCCGCGCCTGGCACCTCGCGCCTGGCACCTCGAATCCATTTGTCGGGGTGTGCCTCCGGTCGCCTCCGGTCTCCGGTTCCGGTGGCGCTGCCGTTGCTGTTGCGTCGAACGGGCCGGGAGGAAGCGGTCCACAGTGGGCCAGAAGACCGATGGAGGCGCCAAAACTCTAGACGCGTTTTGAGCTCCAGAGTCGCTAAATGGGACTCGAACCGAACGTGTGACCCCACCAACGGATTCCTCGTTCGGAGAGCAATCCATTGGTGGGGTCACACGATCGGTTCGAGCCCCATTTAGCGACTCTGGAGCTCAAAACGCGTCTCGAAGTTTGGCCGCTCCACCGGTCTTCTGGCCCACTGTGCGGACTAATGCCTGGAAGCCGGAGGGGGAAATCCTGAAAGTGCGGAGAGCTGGGATTCGAACGATCGGTCTCTGGAGCCGGGCATCGACGACTACCTGACCCGGGCGAGGCATCAGTGTCCGACACCCAGAAGAAAAGGTGATTGTTTTTAAAAGACCAAGTTGTTGTTTTGATTTTGCTCAAAGAAGTCCCTTTGAACTCTACGAGTTTCTTGGTGCGCCCCAAGCGCCCTTTACCCCTCCTGCCGTTCCTTCCGCTCTTCGCCTCAAACTGATCAAGACACATCCGCGTCAAGCTGAAGGAGCAAACACTGAGGATGTTGTCGGAGGGCAGCATCTGCCGCGTCTGCGGTTTACGGTGATGGAGGGCTTAGGTGCGACGGTAAAAGAAATGCATGGATAAGGCTTCCATCTAAACTTTCTTAAACGCCTGCCGTACTCTGCGAGAAATCGGGGTCAGGTCAGAGATGGCTTCACCGCGCCATCGTCACCAGGGAAGCAGGAGCCCGGATAATTTGGGAAGTTCAACTATTGATTTAGATTTTTTTGACTGACACTCTTCACCCAGATAACTAACGATTTCCCTGAATCAATGGGGAATGATTTATTCAATATAACGGCTTCGTCAACTTTTAACATTGGTTCAAGTAAAAATTGTTCAAAGCATTGACCTTTCTTTGATTCAATGCGAAGTTATTCTGCGTGTTGCAGGTAGGAAGTTTCATGAACTCGGCTTTTCAGGAATAAATTTTGGCGTTGTGGTTCCTTTAGTCACCCTCTTAGTCACGGCCATCGGACCTAGATCGACGGCCTTGCCTGGCCTTGCCTGGACCGGCGCCCACGCGCGGCGAATCCTTTTTCAAATCCACTTACAAGGTCGG